GGTAATTTTATTATTTCACATGAATAGTAAATCCTCCACAATTCCCTATGTATCATTTTTCTTATTCATAACTAATCAAAAACACTTAACATATTCCCTCCCTAACAAACAATGCAATAAAAGAACTTTGTGAGCAAACATTCTACAAGAAGATGCAAACCTTTCAAATAAAAATTTAAAATATAGTAAAATAATGCAATTATAATTATTAAATCTAGGAATCTCAAAATTTTCAAGGGAAAATTTTGTATATCAACCTCAAACTAAAGATTTTTCCTAATCATTATATAGTTTTAAGGATGGAATACAATGATGGATAACAAGTAGTGAGGTATTTATATAATTACTACTTTCAAAAATATAAAATAATGGTTTCGAAGAATAAAATCAAAGACCTTAACATTAACATTTATAGTTATAGAAATATATATAACTTATTTTATTTAAAAATCTAGGTTATGACCACCCATTTTTAATTTTATAATACAAAATTTTGACCATGTGCATTTAAGTTAATTCAAGTTAATTTCGGATTACATTTATTTCCTGTCAATTCAACTATTAACATGAAAATTTAAATTGGGTGTAGCCATTTAAATAAACATTAAAGAAAATAAATAATCACAATGATAAAGTTTAGAGTTGTAAGTAAGCAAAAACCAACAAAGTGGAACCGAGAAACAAACTTTAGTAAGGAAATAAACCAAATCTACTTGATCATGGTATTTAACCACGTGCAATCTATGTGCATTGCACGTGCATAAAACCTAGTAAACATAAACTAGGTAGCTTTGATGCACGTACTCTCTCATCTCCTCAAACAACTACGCATAAATCCCCTTGCACCTTCCTTTTTTTCCAAACAAAAGATTGATTCTCTTATTCCTTTTGGTCATAAAAGTTTGTAATCTATCATCTACCCAAGAGATCATGAATTAGCTGCCAAAAAAAAGGAGAAAGCTAATCAAGTTTGTTGTTGACCATATAAATAAATGCTAAGTCCTTGCACTTATTTATAAAGTCTTTGTACTCCCCTCAATCTGAATCTATGCACTTATCTATAGTCTATAGAGTTTCTGCCTATAGAGTCTATGTGCTCTTTTGGAGTCTATACTCCCCTCATTAGAGTCTATGTACTCTTTCAGAGCCCCTTACTCTTCGAAACTTCTTTTTCTAAGAGAAGTATAACTTTATAACTATATGAGAGATGCAAAATTTTCTGAATCATGTAAAACGAGAAACAAAATTCTTTTTTTGAAACGTACACCAAAAAGAGAATATATATAAAGAAAAACAAAGTAGAAAATAAAACAAAATGGCAATATGTTTGCCAATAAGAGACTTTGGTGATAAAATAAACATAATGGGTGTTAGATACATATTTAAGCTTCTTGAATAAATTGGTTGTATCAAATCTTTGCACGAATCCTACGCAACTAAAGGATTAGAGCCACATGGATAATAATTTTGACCCATGCATAAATCCTGTCTCTATTCAGTTTCCCGAATGTGTAGACTTTATAACATTAAAAAAAATTCTAAAACTGCAATAAAGAATCCCTTGATGTGTTTCCAACTTTCCAAACAAAAAGACCAACGTGAAAGTTCAAAATGCAATTATATCCTCTGAAGTCACGTAATCCCAAACAATTCATAAATTGCACTTTACACCTAGCAATAAACGCAAAATTGCATTTTAACCTGGATTCGTGATTCACGCTAGAATTTGCAGTTTACCAACTATAAAGTCTCCAAAATTGCATTTCAGCCCAGATTGGTGACTCAGCCTAGAATTTATAGTTTACACCCCACTAAAAGACTCAAAAATTGCATTTCAGTCTAGGTTTGTGATTAAGTCCAGATTTGGTAGTCTACCCCCTGAAAAGACTTAGAAATTGCATTTCAGCCAAGATTCTATACTTTAATCCACAATTTATAGTACTACCCTAGAAATGAAGAAATTCAATTTTATCCCTGCCTAGAATTTGCAGAAAAAACCTTGGCTGTTTAGAAATTACAAATGAGACCATGATCTGTGCTGAAATTTTAGAAAAAACCTTGAGCTACCTAAAACTTACAGAAAAGACCCTGGCAGTGTAAAATTTAAAGAAAGGTCCCTTAAATGTGCAGAGTTTACAAAAAGGTCCTTGAAAGCTACAGAGATCAAAAATAGTCCTCAGAAGCTATAAGAGATTATGAGACGATGCAAAAATTGCAAAGATAATCCCCAACAATCCAATGAATGAAATGTCAATAATTTAAATTCAAAATATGGTGTAGAGCCCTAAGTCTAAACTGGAAACACAAATTCATCATATAAGAAATGAATTTACTTGTGTAGAAAAATATGCACGAACGACATCAAAAAGGTCAATTGCGCACCCAAGTCTAGAAAAAAAATCAAACTTACCCTCCATCTTGCTAAACTGGGCCCAATCAAAACTGATCTCTATGTTACTAAACTGGAACAAACCAAATTGACCTCAACGTCACTAAACTAGGCTGACCTCCATATCGCTAAACTAGACCAAATTAAATTGAGCTCCACGTCGCTAAATTAGGCAAATCAAACTCCCTCACATCACTAAACTAGGCCAATCAAAATTGACCTCCACATCGTCAATCTGGAACAAATTAAATTGACCTCCATGTTGCTAAACTAGAACAAATCAAACATGAGCTCCACGTCGCTAAACTAGGCCAAATCAAAATTGACCTCCACATTGCTAAAATAGAATGAAACAAATTGACCTCCATACATCTAAACTAGATCCCAATTTAAATTTGACCTCTACGTTCATGAATTGAAAAATACCAAAATTTACCTCCACATCCCAAACTGAAAATACCAAGTTTGAATTCCACATCCTTAAATTGGAAAATACCAACTTTGACCTTCACGACCCTAAACTAGAAAACATATCGAATTGATCTCTTCATCGTTAAACTGTACTTAAGATTCAAACTCCATTTCACACCACGAAGGTGAAACCAAATCTAAATTTAACCACCACAAACGACCCTAGTTCAAGATTTTACATGAAAATTGTACACCGGGGGTATGCCCCTGGTTATGCCATGTGACATGATTATTTTTCTTAATAAAATCATTATGCTTTTCTTGCTTTATGAGTTTTCTTTTATTTTGACACAGAAGGAGAGAGAATTGATATGATCTCTCTTTTTGTTTAATATGGGACCTTTGGGGCGAAAGGATGCCTCACTCGATGCTTGAGTCGAGTTTGCTTCCCGTTGACGATTCGAACAAGGTCGCGGATAAGCTTCCTCGTGTGGTTGAAGTTTTTTTAGAGTTTGAGTATCCCGAGCTAGGATGTTTAAAGGCCAGAGATGCTTGATTGCTAGATGCCAAGTACCCAATTGTCTCAATGCTCCCCTCCTCCTTTTTCTTTGGTAGCCATTAGTGGCTATTTATAGAGGAGAATGGTGTGTAACCGTCTCCTATGAATGTGGGAAGTGGGCCCAACCACTTCCACATTTTAAGCCTTACTGGTTGACTTGGTCAAGCAGTACAGATGGACTTGACGCTTCAGGCTGACTTAACTCTGCATGAGTTATTTAGGCGAAGCTAAGTTATCAGGAAAACTTAGCTTTGCCGATGAAGTCGAGTATTCAGGCGAACTTGACTTTGTTCAGGCGAACTTGAATGCTCAGGAGAAGTTCAGTCTTGCAGGCGAACCTTTGAGCTTCTTTACTTGTTCCAAGTTGATGTGTTTGTTAGCTTTTACCCAAAAAGAGTGAAGTGGCAATATACTGCTCAAATCTTAATGTGTTTGCTGTACAACTCGTGCATTTCTAGACATACACTTGTTGACTCTTAACCGAAGGTTCATTTAACTCAGAAAGGTTACTTAACAATAGGCTCTTAACACTACAAGAAATTAGGTCTTTAACGACCAAAATTAGTGAAGGGACCATTTGACTATCATTAATGTGTGTAAAATATTGACGGTTTTAAAAACCTTCATCAATTGATTACAAATAGTAGAGTAATGATGTGAGAGCGGAAAAAGGGTATAAAATAAAACTCTCTCCCATAGGGTTAATTTGATAGGATCGATATGCAAATCAAAGTTATCTATGTTCACTACAACAAATTGCACTTTTCCCAACGCTTATTCCCGACGCATGGTTAAATTCATCGCCAAAAATTATGTTTTTCCCGACGATTTTAGTAAGCGTTGGCAAAATATATATATTTTTCCCTGCGTTTATAATTAGCGTTGCTAAAAGTGTATATTATTTGTGACGTTTTAAATTAGCGTCGGTAAAAGTATATGGATCGTGATGTTTTTCATTTTTCGTCGGTAAAAATATATATTTTTAGCGACGTTTTAGAGTTGACGTCACTAATAGTGTGCATTTATCGCGACGTATTAAGTTAGCATCGCTAAAATTCTCTTTTCCACGGCGTTTCTATTTTGTCTCGCTAAAATGTCTACTTTTTACGACGCTATTTTATTCATCCGCGTCGCCAAAAAAAACGCCCCAACTTTTTACCCTACACGCGGGAAATTTCCCCCCTTTATTTTTGCGAAAATGAGAAAAAACCCCAGAACCCCGTTCTTCCTCCTCAAATCGGATCTCGCCGCCTCTCCTCTTCCAAATCCAAATCCAAATCGAACGTAGAAGAGGAAAATGGCGGCGGCAGCAGCAGCTTTCCCATCTCCCCTCCCCCGCCGCCCCCTCCTCCTCCCCCTCCCCTCTGCGCCTTCGTCTCCCCCAAAATTGAAGACCTCGGCTCCCAAATCTCCTCCCTCACCCTGGAGGAGGCCCGTCACCTCGTCGACTACCTCCAGGACCGCCTCGGCGTCTCCGCTGCCGCCTTCGCCCCCGCTTTCGTCGCTACCGCTCCATGCGCTACCGACGCGTCTGGAGGAGCGCTGCGGTGGAGGAGAAGACGGAGTTCGATGTCGTCATCAAGGAGGTCCCAAGCAATGCCAGGTTCAATGGCCCAAGACTTCATATCACATCCACTTGCTAATCCTAAATCTTATTTAAAATACTCCATACATGGAACAACAAGTCAATAAAGATATTGTAGTTCACAAACTCTTTAGCAAATACCATAGTCTAGTGTGATCGTGACCTTAAGGACACTTACTCCTGGTTATTTAGTTACTTTGTAAGCATCTTACAGGGTTTCGTTGTTCATATTAATGATACGCAAACCCTAGATCTTTTCAATTGACTTATCGAGCTTGTATTTGCCAATATATTATGATATTCTATACTGCTTTGACTTTTTTCTTTCACGTATTTTGTTTATCATGATATCATTTTTGAGATGTGCATAGCCTTTTCAACAATTATTTTAACACAGCACAACATAACTTTCTGATTGGCTTGTGATGGTACAAGGTAGAACCTAATCAAGAGTTCCAAGGGTTGATATGTGAGGGAGCAAGTGTACTTCCAGCAAAGCTTTTGGAGAATGCATTTCGTGATCGATATGGTAAGTTCATCAACAGGTTTCTTTTATCGTACTTCTTTCATAACAGTCTGAAAGATTATCTTACTTGATATGGATTCATGAAATTTGATGTTTGTTGATGATATGAATGAATAAGTTGGATGACACCACTCTCTTCCTTATAGGGGACACACATCACAAGCACGAAATGTATCCAATATAGTCCAAAAAATTTCTTTTGCTTATCAGTGTCTCGATATGAGTGGACTATGACATAACATTGTAAGTAAGGAACTTCATTGATGTTTTGTTTTGCATCGTATTTATGTATCGTATTTATACAATCCTCTTGTGAATGAATTCAGTTATCTAGATTTGCTCTGAAAGTTGATCAAATTATGCCATTATTTCTTGATACACTATCTTGTTTCTTTTCATGTTCAGAAGTAGGATATTTTTACAAGGTCAGTAATAAAAAATTGAATCAATATCCAGTTTTATTTCAAAATTCAAAAAATACTATTGCAATTTATTTTTACGAGAACTAGATTCTGTAAACCCAATAGTTAGAATTCCACAAGCTCTCCCCAGCTCATGATTATAATACTAATTATATGCAGATGGATAAATCATGATGCTATCTGGTATATGAAAAGTGGAATAAAGTTAGAAGGAAGAATAGACATATGTTGAAGTCTTGAAGATCAAACGGCACTCAAATTTTATTTGTTATTGTAATCAAATATTGAATATGTTGGCTTTCTGCAGATAGCAATGAACGCGCTAGTGGTAGAACTTCATAAAAACCAACACTGATGATAACTAAACAGGCTCAGTCACTACAAAAGACAGTTCCTGAACTATTTATTTATTTACGCTAGGCGGCTGCAGAGGTGTTCAGGTGGTGTATTCTACATTTTGTTTATACTTGGTTCTCCAACTAGTATTCATTTTTTATGTCTACTTTCAGAATACTTTACCAATTGGATGCGGCTACATGTACATGCAGGAAAATGAATTCTTGAAAATGTTTCAAATGCCGGTTATTGAAGTTCCCACAAATTTACCAAATATTTGTCAGGACTTGCCTATTCAAGCTTTTGCAGTATGGTTTTGTAATAAGCATTATGGAGTAAAATAGAACTCTTGTTTCTTCTTTTTGTTTCCCATGTGGCCGTGCAGATTCACTACTTGCTATTGTTTAAATGATGTTTCAGACTGCACGCGGAAAGTGGGAATATGTCCGAGAAGAAGTTGAATATATGTTTAGGCTGGGTCGTCCTATTCTAGTTGGAACCACAAGGTAATACCATCCTCACCATCTGACTCATAGTGGTTACTACCCTGGTTTACATTAGAAGTAAATTGGTTCAGAAATCTTATGTCTGATATTCGGGTTGGATTAACATATACACAAAATATGATGCATGAATAGCTTGTAAATGTAAAACCTTTCATCATCTAATCCAAAGTTCAAATGTCAACCTCCATGTCATTAATGGGAAAAGGGTCCAAAGTAAGTTGTTTTTCTTGCTTTGATTCAAAGGAAGAAGTGTAGTTGAATACTGATCATAATAATGGGAAGGTTGTTTATAAGGGAGAAGAGCAGCCCATGGTTCCTCCTAGGATTGATATGCCCCCTTCAGGTTTTGATTTGACTTTGATTTTGTAAGTTGTTAAAATTCATAAGCTTATCTTTTTTTTGGCTGAGCTGGTACATAGAATCAAGCTTAAACTTTAATTTCTGATCACCCAATATTACATTGGTTCAGCTGGGTATTGCATTATTGATGTTGTTAGTGAATTGCTTATACAGTTGATAATTTTGACATGATTCAGGATTATTGGTTGTGTTATGATTGATGGTGATTTAGTTATTTTGAAGAATTGTTCCTCAAATTTGGGTTGATTTTATTTGTTCTTGAATCCATTAATTCTATGATTTTGACAATTGGATGCATAAAATTGCCTGATCATTGGATTTTAAGAATTGTTTTGAATGAATCTGGTCCAATATTTTGTCATGTGTATGTTTTTGGTTTTAATGAATATGATATGATATATGCACACCCAAAACTTTTTATAGAATGAGTACACTTTTGTGTTTGATTTTAATTTTTTATTTGCCTTACTGAGTACATTTCTTTGCATTGCAGCTACATAACAGAAGTTGGAGATGGATGGTGAAGGTGGGAAGAAGAAGCCAGAGACATGACGAAGGAAAGGCTTACAACGTTGATAAGACATGGTTTATCTGTAGTCATTATTGTTCAAGTCTACTTAATCATGATTGTTGGATTTGTTAATAAAACATGTGTCAAACACTTGTTATTTGTTTAATAGAATTGCATTTAAATTTATTTACTAATGTTATTATTTGTTTCATTTTAATGATTGTGAAAATAAGCACCGATATTATTTTAGCTGTTAATATGCAACTTGTTTGGAGTATAATTTGATGCTTGGTTTCTTTGTTGATGTGAATGAGAGCAATTTTACTGTGGATGTTCAGGTTTAGTGTAGTTGACAGAAAATATATTACTTTTGGCGATGCAAATTAGCGTCAATAAAACTATACTTTTTATCGACTAAAAATTATACTTTTGCCGACGCAATATTGCATCGCCAAAAATAATATCTTTTAGCGACACTATCTTGCGTCGCTAAAGGTATAGTTTTTAGCGACACTTTATTCTGCGTCGCCAAAAGCTAAACTTTGGCCGACGCTAACTTGCGTCGCCAAAAGTATAATTTTTAGTAACGAACAATTTTGCGTTGCTAAAAGCTATACTTTTGCCAACACATAGCTTTTGCCGATGCTGCATGCGTCGCCAAAAGTACACGTTTTGTTGACGCAAAATATTATGTGTCACTAAAAGATATACTTTTTCCGACGCATGACACGTCGGCAAAAGTGTACTTTTGACGACGTAGTGTATTTGCGTCGACAAATACTTTCTTTGACGCACTTTTGACGACGCGTTAGCGACGCTGCATTTTGCATCAGGAAAGATTTTTCTCGACGTTTTTTAAACTTTTACCGATATTTTTGTTTCATCGACAATATTGTATTTTGTTGTAGTGGTTAATTGGATGCATTTATATGCAACTAGTTAAGATAGGCAATTTTTACCCCATAAATATCACATCCCCATATCCAACAATTAAACCACACTATACAGTCAGCATTCAGACTGCATCTTCATATCCAATAGTAACATGTATTCATATCTCATATATCCATTCACAAAGTAATAAAATCACAAACACATACTAAAATTTGATATAAAAATAACTCCACATGTCCATACATGTCTAACATGATTCAAAAGTCCATAAATGTACAATAACATGTATCCGGCCGCAGATGCAATACATATAGAAATAACTCACTACTCATTGTCATCATTGTCTCCATGATTGCTGGTGGCCACATCCGGATGCCATATCGTACTTATGCGCCCTAAAGGAGTACCTTCTCTAGCCTGAAAAGAATGCAAGTCAACATGAGAATGTGTTTACAAAATTCATAATGAATACATATGTTTAAACATATATACCTCTTCACTACCAAATCTAACACTGGAATGTCTAACCACTACATATGCCAATAGAATAACGACAATATGTATATCTTCGGTCCCTTAAGGAAGTAGAATTGGTGATGCTTCGTACAACATCTGAGACCATTTGTGTGTCCTCTAACTCACTCATAATAATTGGAAGAAGATTGAAAACCATGCAGGGTTCAAGATGCTCAGTCACGCACTGCTCAATCACTCCAATCATGGACAACATCTCATTTGGTTGTTGCGAGCTCATCGTCAACTTGTTATCCTAAATATTGATGGTGGTGAATGAACTAATTTCAGAACCCGATAATGGTACCCTCCCCTTTCTTGGATTGTTTAGGACGATAAGCACCATCAATGACTTCCTTCCATTACTCTTTGGTCATGCGATTAGGATCTAAAGGGATACTGTCTCCTATGCCATAAGACTAGAGGGCCTAGACCAACACTTCATCTTGCGTAGTTTGCAGTGCCACCTTAATATCACATAATAATAATTAATATAATTATCAAATCAACTAAGAAATTGTTAAGTTTGATTCAAATGTGAAATTGACTTTATACGTACATGCATATCATTATTCTTTAACACTTACTACTCTGATCGTATCCCTCGGATGGTGTATAAGCCACTCTAGTAAAGGGTTGACGGCATAGTTAAGGCATCTACGTCATGTGATTATACCAATTTCAAAATTATCTTGAGCAATGTATGAAACCAGTGATATGATATAAAATTTAAGAAAGATACATGTTGAGTTCTCCCTCAAATACTTATGCTCGATCTACGCACATGGAGTAGCCCCTAAAAAGTGATCATATCTCTTCTCATAGCGATTATATAATGCCGTCTCACATAATTTCTTCAAAATAAAGTACATTGTTAGTGTGTGTAATGATAATATCAAACTTAAGATATAACTCACCTTCTTATCACCCTCCCACTAAATAATGAGAGCCATCCAATTATATGGAGGACCCTCTTCTCTAGCTGATAAATTCTTTATCAACCAACAGTTATTTTCTCAAAGTATTTTATCTTGAGTTTATGCCTCCAACCTCGAAGTATATTGGCGACATGAGCCATTATGTAATCCCAAGATTTTGGGTTGTCCTCAAGACAATAATGATCTTGCAAATTACACATGAAAGAACATATGTTGTAAGAATAATCAAATAAAAATACACAATATAATATATAATTACGATAAGCTTATCCTAAATTTTCTTTATGCCCCTCTATTTTTGTTCTTCAAATACATGAGCAATGTTGATGGAGGTGGGGTCTCTAATTAAATAACTGATCAAATTATTAAATCTCACAGTATAATCCCTAAGTACAATGCTGCTCAATGATCATTCTAAAATGACCGGTAACCTTTAGGGGGTACTTTGGTCTATCTCTCACTCCATGTTGTCTAGACTTCTCAAAGTCCTTCTGACTTACCAAGACAAAGAGAAATAAATATCTTAGTAACTTAAATAATTAAGAAAATTATTAAAGCTCACTCAATTACACACCTACTTCCCTCTCTATATCCTTATTTCTTCTAATATTGGCTAACTAGCAAGATATTCTCTTTCTACCTAATGTTGAATATAATTACAAATAGTCATAAAAAAGTTAATCTAAAATTTCACCAAATTTAATTGATGCGGCATAAACATGTACCAAAATGTTGCAAGTGCACAACCGTGTCAAGTTATAGTATAAAGATATCGATCCCACGAGGAAGGTGTTTTGTAGGAGAAAATATAAAATCGGTTCTTATGTTGTGTGCATGACAAATAGGAGTGATGAGTGAATGCGATTGTGAAGAGATTGAGAGAGTGAAAATGGTGTGTAAATAGGCGCAAAATGTAAGTGAGAGTGGTTGTGACAAAGAATGAATGTGATCAATAAGGCAAGAAGGAAAAATCAAGAAAAAATAAAAATCAAGAATGAAAAATAAAATTCAAGAATAAAAGAAAATACAAGAAATTAAAGATGGTGGATTCAATTATAGATATGGGTAATCTAAAATTGAACCCACTTCTTAGAAAAGAGTGGTTCCCTAGAGGGTTTTAGCCTAAAGGCGAATCAAACAAAATAAAAATAAATAAAAAAAACTAAACCCAAGAGGGTTCTAGCCTCAAGGTGAATAGTGCAAGAAATTAAAATCTAACTACAAAATAAATTATAAAATCTAAACTACAAAATAAATTGCAAAAATTAAATACAAGAAAATAGATCTACTCTATAAGTATGAAATAAATCTAATCTATAAGCATGAAATAAATCTAAGGCAAGAGGGTTCTAGCCTTTTCGCTATTTAAATAAGAAAATAAAATCTAATTACAAGCATGAAAATAAATCTAAACTAATAAGCAATACAAGAGAAATAAGAAAAACAAACCTTCAAATTAATCTCCATCTTCATCTTCATCTTCATCATCCAACAAAGAGAAGAAAAGAAAAATTTAAAGTGGTGAAAAAATTATTATTATTAATTGCAACAAAAATTATAATTTTGGAAGGCCTTCTCAATTAAGAGTAGCCCTCCTCTCCAAATGGAGTTACAAAAATTTTCACACCTCTAACCCCTCACTCTCTACCCCTATTTATAGTAAACATCAATGAATAAGAGCCCTTGAATTGAATCCTTATCCAAAACCATCAAAAATCAGCCATTGATCTGTAACTGAATCGTAGCCATCGATACCAGCATCGATGCTGACATCGATGTCCAATGAAAAATCTGCCTCCACAGATGGCTTCGTCTCGTCGAGATAGGTGATTTTCATATATTATATGTTAAATTCTGCCTTCCGGATTGAGAGATATCGTCATTTCTTTGCGACCAACCATCTTGAATATATTTTGTTTTCATATTTGATTTTTTTTATTTTCTCCGACTTCTACAAGCTACCGGCTTGATTCTGGGCTTGGGATTTTTGGCTCTTGCTTGTGTTCTTCATTTAATTCATGAGTTTTTATTGAGAGATGGGATTTTTTGGGCTTTATTCTTCAATTAACCTGGCAATTAAAGATAAATAATTATTAATGATATATTTTAATTTATTAAAACATAAAAATAATGACGGGGTATAAAATTATAATAAAATATGATTATCAAATACCCCCACACCTAAACTTTTGCTAGTCCCTCTACACAGAGAACAAAAAAGAAGAAAACGCTAACGTCACTTTCGCAGGAATCACAAGGTTGTATTTAGCGGCATACAACAAGGCGCTTTAAAACCCCTAAGGTTACGCACTAGTGGACGAGTTTGTACCTCTCGTGAGGTTTGGCAGTGAATTATATCCCCACAAATCGGTCAACTTGCCAAATTCAAAGAAGTCAGTGCAATAACTAATTCCACTTGATAACTTTCAGACAAATCTAATTGAAGCTAGTTATCACTCAAGAAAACATTTTTATATATAACTCTAAGGTAAATTTCTAGAAAATCTTCTCCTTATAGCAATACAAAACCAAGCCAAACTTAGAAATTTAATTTAATAGTTTTAAAAAGAACATGCTAACTCTTTGTTTAAAATAATATTCATGTTGCTTGATCTAAAATATTTTCCAAGACCATATATACAAATATAACTATATATAAAACATTTATTTGTATTTTTATTTTTATTTTTTATATTATTATTATTTTTAACTCTTTTTTCCTTGGTGATTTTTTTCTACTTTAACGAGCTTTCTAAGCGACCATTTAACGAGTTTTGGGCCAATGGATCCCAACCCAATTAAGCTTAGGTCATTAAGTATGGAAATACTTCTTGGGCTTAA